CTTCAAAATAAAAGCTAACACACGGTGATTTCAAAACAAGGCCCAACCCCCGAAACCAGGGACGTCGAGAGGAAATAAGTACAGCACAGTACGTCTTTATGCCATCTTTTTCAAATAAACCCTGCTGTAGACAAGGCCCATTTTAATTACATCTAAAAGAGTGTACATGCATCAACCTTTATATTCATAATAAAGGTAAATTTGTTTGGAAATTCAATTCACTGCTGTCAATATATTCCTGTTCAGTCATCATTCATAGTTTCCATGAATGATGACTGAACAGGAAAATCTACTTATTTTCTGTTTATTGCTATTTGTCATTGTCACTATTTTAAAATACCACCCATCGACTCATGTCGAGCCTTGCTCTGCTTGCTGTCTTTGGGCAGTAGGCGGGACACACTCTCAGCTGGTTTCCAGCCAATCGCAGGGCACACATAAACACACATTACAACCATTCATTCACACCGACGGACAATTTAGTGTGATCGGTTAACCTACAATGCATGCTTTGGGAATGGGGGAGGAAACTAAAGTACCCGGAGATGATCCACACAGGCACGGGGAGAAATATCCGCATCAAACAGCTGCGTCTTCATTTTTGATCAGGCGGTAAATTCTGCTGCAGTTTCCCTCCACCGCAAAAGGGGGCGACATGTGGAAAGCGACTCCGAACGAGAGAATAAACCATCCCCACCAACGACGACCGGTCCTTCCGGCTCCGGTCTACTATCAAGTGGAAAGGTAAAGATACTACCGGTGTCCAAATCGAAATATATCTGCAACATCGCGAATGTGAATAAAAATCCACAGAGTCCATCCAAGTGTTATACTCCTTTCGTTTGAAGAAATCGTTGAATTTCGAACGTGAACGTTATAAATCATCTGATATTAAGACGAGAAGACAACTGGTCTGCGACGTTCACCGATGGCTGCCATTTCTTGGCTGAACTGAGCCGCCTGTAGTTATATCAGTGTGCCGGGTGTATGGAAAATATGAAAAACAAACGACAGCCTCTGTTATTACGTTGGGACTATCGCTAATTGTTTTGGCTTCCGCGAAGCACGTACACACGCGCATTGTCCGTGCGACGTAACCGGGTCGGCTAGTGAGTTACTATGCGCTTTTTTTCTTCTAAATGAGCAGATGCTGATGCCCAAGAAGAATCGCATTGCTATCTACGAGCTCCTCTTCAAGGAGGGAGTAATGGTGGCCAAAAAGGACGTCCACCTGGCCAAGCATCCCGAGCTTGCCGACAAGAACGTGCCCAATCTTCATGTGATGAAAGCGATGCAGGTGAGAGTGTGGGCAACGACCCTTTGAAGAGACCTTTTTAATTTCTCGACTAGTGCTGACTGTATTGGCCTGAACATGCATGCTTTTCGCCTGTGCAGTCCCTGAAGTCGTGCGGCTACGTCAAGGAGCAATTTGCCTGGCGCCACTTCTACTGGTACCTCACCAACGAGGGCATCCAGTACCTGCGGGACTTCCTTCACCTGCCCTCCGAGATTGTGCCCGCCACGCTGCGTCGACAGACCCGCCCCGAGACTGCCAGGCCTAGACCCAAGGGTGAGGCCAATGAAGTGAATCCATCCGTCCATCTTCCGATCCGCTTTATCCTCACAAGGGTCGCGAGGGGGCGGGGGTGCTGGAGCCTATCCCAGCTGTCTTCGGGCAGTAGGCAGGGTGCACCCTGAACTGGTTGCCATCCAATCGCAGGGCACACATAGATGAACAACCATCTGCGCTCACACCTAGGGACAATTTAGAGTGTTCAATCAGCCTGCCATGCATGTTTTTGGAATGTGGGAAGAAACCGGAGTACCCAGAGAACACCCATGCAGGCACGGGGAGAACATGCAAACGCTACACAGGAAGTCTGGAGCCCAAATCGATCCCTGCACCTGTGCACTGTGAGGTTGAGGTGCTACCCAGTTGACTCCCGTGCCGCTTGATTTGAACCGAATCCTTACATTTCAGTTGGGTTTAATTAAATAGTCCGGGCTGATTTAAAGCTGCAAGAAGCGCAAAGCATTGGAGTTGATTGTGTGATGTAATGCAAGTATTTGCTTCCCCCGCCCTGAAAAAAAATTCATATAGCAATAGTTCAAATTGCACAAATACTTTTGATCTTTGAAGAGCTTACTTCAAACTCGGCTTACTAACATTAGCGTCCGAAATAAATGGCAATGAGGTTTGATTTTGAAATCATGCAGTAAAACAAAGAAGAAAAAAGTTGAGTTAAAATGTGTTAACCAATGTTATTGAACCCACTTATTGGCATAATAGAGGAGAAGATGTTATTTTTTGGAAGGGGAAGACACAATTTTGTCCGTTCTTGAATTCAATTTGTGTCATCTTTTATCAAAGGGAACTTGGTTTGACCATATGGCGACTTATTTAAGAGTCACACTCAATAAGTGCAAACAAACATTCGGAAAACCTCAGATGAATGCCTACTTGGGTGAGGAGTTGCTGCACCCTGTATATACAGCAACATCTCGCCATACATAAATTTAGCTGACAATGTGAAGTCAACATAAATACCAAGGAAACACTGACAGAGGGCATGTCCAAGTCGTAAACAAAAGATGCAAAAAAATAGCCGATACGTCGACAATGCAAACACCCATATGTGAATTTAAAAATGGTTAAAAAATTAATACTGTGAAACAAGGGCATATGTAAACTGAGGTTGCATTGTAAATTTGATTTGTGGAGCACTTCACAGACGACTCAAATTTGTTGACATTTAAAATGCAGTCATAAGATCACATTTAATTGACCTTTTTGTGGAGACGCTGAACATGGTAAATTGTTGCAGGAGCAGAAGGAGACAGGCCTGCCCGCCTTAACCGTGGAGAGTCTGACAGAGATGCTTACAGGCGATCTGCTGCACCACGTATGTATTGTACTTCTTTCTACAATCACGTAGACAAATTAATGGTTTTGAAGTAGTCATGCTGAGTAGCAATAAATATGTGGCTCAAGGATTGCCACGCTTGACTAATTTATAATCTTTCAGCCGGTGCTGACAAGAAAGCAGAGGCTGGTGCTGGAGCTGCCACAGAGTTCCACTTTGTAAGTACTGACAAGTCACAATCACATTACTGTTAGCCCCTATTAAACTTTTTTTTTTCCTTGTTCTCTTTTCAGAGGGGCGGCTTTGGGCGCGGCAGAGGACAGCAGCCTCAGTAAATTTTTACTTTCTGTACAATAAAGAAAATCCAAAACAAGTCATGCCCTCAGCGTTTTATTTGAATGCAGAACCCTAAACTGAATACTACTGTATATCTAGAGCGGGGGTGCCCAATGTCAGTTCGGTTTGGGGACCATATTAATTTCAATTGACCTGAAGTGGGGCGGACAACTATATTCATGGACTAACGTCTATTCCAAAATGTTCTTTGTTTTGGTGCAAACAATAAGTACATCCTTAACCTTTATACCTATATATTAGTCACAATAATTCACTTCTTGCAAGTCGTGTGCAATCTGACATTTCTTAGACTATTTTCAATTATATCCATCCATTATCTGATCCGCCTTATCCTCACAAGGGGAGTTTTGCGGATGTGCTGGAACCTATCCCAGCTCCTTTTGGGCACAAAGTGGGGTTGCCATCCAATCACAAGGGCACACATGAACAAACAACCATTCACACTCATGCACACCGAGAGACAACTTAGTGTTCTATTAACCTGCCATCGATGTTTTTGAAGTGTGGGAGGAAAGCAGCACGGGGAGAACATGCAACTTGAAAGGGAAGTAACCGCCCCAAAATTATTTACAATATGTTCTTTTCGCCTTTCTTAGGCTGAACAACATTCTTATTCATACTGTGTTTGTGGAATACGAGTTCAGCAGCAAATTCCACCTCTTTTTGTCCATCTCAGGGGGCGGCTATTTTGCCACTTTGTCTGCTCAGGACTCGAGTAACAACCAATCACGGTTCTCCAGTTTTCGGAAGCTGAGTCATGAAATGGGTATTACCTGGGCACTGAGCAAATTTGATATAATTTTTAGTTGACAGCAATTGGTAAAATGGCCACCCCCTGAGTTGGATAAAAGACAGGTGGATTTTTCTGCCTAACTCATTCCTCACCGAATATGAATCAGAAGCCATGTTTAGACTAGTGGGTCTGCAAATAACATTCTTGTTTTTTAGGATCAAGAAATAATTTTAAATTTACCTCTCCACATCAATCCGGAAATATTCACAACCTCAGCTGACTCATCACATCACACACACTTATGTGGGCAATACCGAATTGTTTTTCCCTCTTGCAACTGAAGCGCAAAAAATATGTTGTGGCAGTGTATGAACAAAACACAAAAGGAGGCTGAAAAGTATTTACCTCTCCACATCAATCCGGAAATATTCACAACCTCAGCTGACTCATCACACCACACACACTTATGTGGGCAATACCGAATTGTTATTCCCTCTTGCAACTGTGAAGCGCAAAAAATATGTTGTGGCAGTGTATGAACAAAACACAAAAGGAGGCTGAAAAGTGAAATACTGGTGTTTTATTGTTGGCACATTTATATTACAATCTTCAGTCTTCTTGCACTGGTTTTATTCTACAGTCCCAAACGAGGGGGGGGAAATCCATGCCCAAGGGGGGGGGGGGGGGGGGGTGACAGAACTCCAGTGACACATTAAACACAAAAGTACGGGGATATAACCTGTCGGCTGATGGTTGTTGGCTGAAAAGAAGGACATACTTTAACGTCGGGAACCAAATTTCTTATCAGCTCTCAGTATGTTTTGGATCAGCAGGAAAACGGGTACAATCATCGACTGCAATATTGAAGCCATTTGGCCACAAGATGGAGCCAATTACCACACAACTGCAGTATCACCTTTGGTAAATCTGACACCTTAAATAAAGTAGTAATACATTTCAGATGAAATCATCCTTTGATAGAAAGACCATTTGGTGCCACTTCAAAACCACCTGTTCATTTTGACTAAAGGAGTAACTTTCATTGAAAAGCTGACGAACCCTTGTTGATCAAGTGTTATGCTGGCAATGTAGAAAATATTAGCATGTCAACAACAGGACTGTTTTAAGAACAACGTGTGCATCAGCGGATATGAATGTTCAAGTAGCCTTGTGACACCAGTCCTGCGTTAAACCTCAAAAGACTTAAACTCATTCTTCCCAGCAGGGTGTGCCTAAGGTCATTGCCCTCAGCGACTTAATTGCACATTCGGATGAAACACTGAGGACAGGCTGGAGAGGGGCGTCGTAAACTTAAGACTTTGGCCACCGCACCTTTCAGATTAGGTGGTAATAAATGAGACTCCTCTCACCACTTTTACCGGTGGAGGAAGTCTAGTAAATTCAGTCATTCTCATCACAGAGGCCTGGACAGAAGCCAGCTGCGCCAGTTGGGTTTCAGATTGTTCGTGTGGTTTCACATGAAGGGTTCCCGTCAACGGCCTTTGAAACATCTTTCACACAAACCCTGGTCCCAGTTTTCTGCGGTCCACTTTCATGCAGATACCATTCTGCTTTCTGACACTACTTTAGAAGCTGGGAAATTGGCACGCCGTCTTCAGCGCCCGGTTCCGCATTGGCTCTTTTCACAAAGAAGATTGCCATTTTTCTGCTGACACACCCCGCAGAATAGATCAGATTTTATCTGAGACTTGGTGGGTTGCCACTTGTATCAATTTTTCCTCATGGGATGCCCACACAGCACAATGATGCACATTTCTCCTATGCCTGGTTTCACAGCTGCCATCCCTCTTCTAATGTTACGGTCAGACGGAACACGAGTTGAGCGTTTCTCACACCATGTTTACATATCCAGTAAAGTAGTAGGGTCAGAATTAATTGATCATTAAATTAATGTAATCTGAAAAGTGCTTTGATAATCGATTGATCTTTCAGAGGCATTGTTGGCTTTCAAATTGTGGGATGTGTTGTGGACGAGTGGTTTGTTTGTGCGTGGTGGACTTCCAGTTGACTTCCTGTTTTGGAGAGAGTGAAAAGTTGTACATTAATTCGCGACACGCCTCCTGTTCTTTTCGCCGGCACCACCATTACAGTATTTTTTCATTACCTAAAACAGCAATTAATGATTGAAATTTAATGTGTCTCAATTTATGAACAATTCGGCTTACGAACAGTCTCTCGGAACCCATTGTGGTCGCATCTTGGGGATCTTCTGTTCTACGAAAATAATCCTTATTAGCTGTCACAATGTGATTAATCTGTAAGTGACATATAGTTGAATCTGAAGCGCTCAAGTGTTGAACTATGCATCTATCAGTACCCAAGAAGTAGGTCTCAGTTTTACACACAAGTGCAAATCTGTGCTTGGGCAACTCCGATGACGTGTTTGATACGATTTGAGTGGGGGGGAGGGGGGTGTATGTTTATTCGCCCATCCACTGCCGTTTGAAAATTTGAAATCATGTTGTGACCAGCTAATCAGCATTGAGAATGTACTTAATACGACACACCAACACATGAAAAAATGTAAGACAATATCATCATTGCTGTGATTGTGCACATTAAAACACAACCAGGAAGTTGGCTCATCTGGTGATGATATTGACTTGTTTGCAGCTGTTGAATTGTGAACCAGGATAGCATTTAGCATGAACCAAAGTTTTAGCAAAGCACCAGCCACACTTTTCTAACACACAAGCGACATGTGGGGGGCCAAGTGATATTCCACATTCGGTCTGCGCCCAGCATAATATCATCTCAGGTTCCTGAAAATACACAAGCGGACTTCAGCACCACATTCCACATCGGCAACGATGACACATAACAGTCACAGGCAAGTCCTCTTTCTCACAGCTGCAATTTTGCAACTCATTCAACAGCAACATGTTTTACGCTATCTCACCCCCACTGCAAAGCTGAAAATCAGCAGGTTGACTTCGATACCTCAGTCTGTGACACCAACTTTCGCACAATAGCGATGCATCTTGCTGCCATCGTCAGTTTACTACCCTGGAAGCCGAAAAAAACAGTGGGCCGACTTCCCCGTCAGCATCTTTCACGCAGCCTATCTGCTTTCCGCTTCACCACAACCGTCATGATGCATCTGAACCTACCCCAGAAACTGAACAATGATTGCACCGTAGTGCATTTCAGCACCTTTTGTACTCTTTCTGCCCTCCCCTTAAACAGCACCATCGTCATGCGCGTGAAACTGCCTCAGAGGCTGAAAAATGTGCGGGTCGACTTCTGCATCGTGACTGGCTGGTGATCATAAAGGTTGCAGGCTGAAAGCATGATAAAAATGCTAAGAACTGGTTCAACAGCTCGTCCAGTCAATCAAAACCAAACAATGATTTAGTGGATTTAAAAAAAAAATAAGACCACCAAAACCCAGGGTGGAGGCCCAGTGACAGAAACACTCATGGGAAAAGACAGTGGTGGACTTTGGGGTTGCAATATCCCTCCATTTTCTACCGCTTAGCCTGTTCAGAGTCACTGGTCAGAATGAAGGATATAGCGGGTAATCTATCTTCAATCTCAGCCTCATCGTTCATTCAACGTCACACGGACGACTAACTGGCACTTCATCTCTTCCCATTCTCGGTTGAAATGACACCTCGGTATGCTCGCCGTTGATCTATACAGAAATAAACAATTTACAATTAAAAAAAAAAAAAAGCTTCTTACGTGCTTTATCTACAACAGCGCCTCCAGTTTCACAGTATGGAGCCGGCGGCTTTCATGGCGCGGCTAAAGAGACTCTTGCCAGACGTTTAGAGAGAAGGAAACGGAAATAAACGAATATCCAAAAATCATTTGACATGTGAAAAACAAAGTCTCACACTGTACAAGGCTTGTTTGCGCTGCAGCCTGCCAATCACGGCATCGCTGCTTCTCTTACTGTCAATGTCAAATTGGGTAGGATGCAGATTAAATACATAAATCCTTCCCAATTTTCCCACAATGCCCCTGGCAGGCAGAAATCTGTATCACACCAAATGTCATGGACACCGAATAGATCCTTCGCTACTATCTGTATGCATTGTGTGTCCAGTGTAAAAGAACAAACAAGCAAGATCATACAGGGCACATTGTTATAATAGAAAAAAATGTCGGGAGCAGTACTGATTTCTGCCTCCCGGGTTGGCATCTGTGTCAATACAACAGGAGGAAAGTTCATCACCCCCCCTAAAAAAAAAAAAAAAAAAAAAAAAAAAAACAAAAAACTGCCTCAGAGGCTGAAAAATGTGCGGGTCGACTTCTGCATCGTGACTGGCTGGTGATCATAAAGGTTGCAGGCTGAAAGCATGATAAAAATGCTAAGAACTGGTTCAACAGCTCGTCCAGTCAATCAAAACCAAACAATGATTTAGTGGATTTAAAAAAAAAATAAGACCACCAAAACCCAGGGTGGAGGCCCAGTGACAGAAACACTCATGGGAAAAGACAGTGGTGGACTTTGGGGTTGCAATATCCCTCCATTTTCTACCGCTTAGCCTGTTCAGAGTCACTGGTCAGAATGAAGGATATAGCGGGTAATCTATCTTCAATCTCAGCCTCATCGTTCATTCAACGTCACACGGACGACTAACTGGCACTTCATCTCTTCCCATTCTCGGTTGAAATGACACCTCGGTATGCTCGCCGTTGATCTATACAGAAATAAACAATTTACAATTAAAAAAAAAAAAAAGCTTCTTACGTGCTTTATCTACAACAGCGCCTCCAGTTTCACAGTATGGAGCCGGCGGCTTTCATGGCGCGGCTAAAGAGACTCTTGCCAGACGTTTAGAGAGAAGGAAACGGAAATAAACGAATATCCAAAAATCATTTGACATGTGAAAAACAAAGTCTCACACTGTACAAGGCTTGTTTGCGCTGCAGCCTGCCAATCACGGCATCGCTGCTTCTCTTACTGTCAATGTCAAATTGGGTAGGATGCAGATTAAATACATAAATCCTTCCCAATTTTCCCACAATGCCCCTGGCAGGCAGAAATCTGTATCACACCAAATGTCATGGACACCGAATAGATCCTTCGCTACTATCTGTATGCATTGTGTGTCCAGTGTAAAAGAACAAACAAGCAAGATCATACAGGGCACATTGTTATAATAGAAAAAAAATGTCGGGAGCAGTACTGATTTCTGCCTCCCGGGTTGGCATCTGTGTCAATACAACAGGAGGAAAGTTCATCACCCCCCCTAAAAAAAAAAAAAAAAAAAAAATCGAAGGAGGAAACGTGCCCACTAAAGTCACCTGTAATGTAAACAATTGAAACAAACCGAGCATTAGGAGGGAAAACAGGATATGTGCTGCATGGTTTTTGAAATGTTTGTACTTTGACCCTCGGCGTGCGGCGGAAGACATTTCTTTCGATCACAGGAGAAAACATGTTTAAAAAAAAAACATGAAAAAAATGCAAAACAAAAAACAAACACTCGAGGTGAAGCCATGTTGACATTCTTTCCACTCTCTTTTTCGAGTGAACGTGCACCGTGCAAGGGTGAGGCGAGTCCCGGAGAGGATATAACTAGGGTCTGATGAGCATAAGGCGTAGAAAAAAAAGTAGTGTGTTTCCGGTAACCCGACCGACCGAGAATTTCTACGTCGAAAAAAAACTTTACGGTCGGCATTTTTTTTCAAACAACCCTCTACATTTTTGTGTAGAGGGTTTACATCGGTGCAAACTCTCGCTATAGTCACGTTGAGCGTGTGCGTCGTTCGCCCTGTCGTCTGTCAACAACATTGAAACATGGCGGCGGCCGCGATCTCCGACGACAGTTTAAACTGCGTTTTCTGTGTTACAGTCGCGTGCTCGCACCGTAATGTTAAGAAAATAGCATTCATTGATGTATCGAAAAAATAAAGCAAACTATTTGATGAACACCATGGGCCGAGTAAAAACCGAGGGCGGAGGCCCCCCCGACTCCAGGGCGGCGAGAAAACTAAATTGGCGGTGCCGGCGCCGGCCGCGCAACGGCGGGTTCAATGTCTTCCTGTTTTATGGTTATTTTGTTTAAATTTTTGATGGGAAAACAAAACAACAGAAAAAAACTGACTGAAATCCAAAGTAACAAGAGACCAGGGGGCACAGAAAAAAAGAGAAAAACAGAAGGGACATCTTAAAAAGGACCACCAAAAGTCTTTTCTGTTTTAAGTACGAGATAGATACACACTTTTACATGACAAGAGTAAAAAGTAGTTCTTTTTCATTCAGTTGAAACCTAAGGGTGCATCGCGGGGAGGGGGAGCTTTTTTTTTTGTTTGTTTTCATGCAACGAGGTTCAGTAAAAAGAAAAACAAAAGGTCAAAAGTGTTTCCGCCAACACTCGTCATCCAGTCTGTGCCACCAAGGTGGCGCTGAGGAGTTGGCAAGACAAAGCAGACAGAGTGGAAGAAGAAGAAGAAGAAGAAGAAGACAAAGAAACGTAAGAGCGCAAGTGGTGGCCAAAGCTCCTGACGTGGAGAGTGTCGGGGGCGCTGTGGTTGGTGTTTGGGGTGGTGTTCAGTTTGGGTTTTTAGTTATCTGATATCCGAGACGGAGCTCTGGTTGATGCTGTAGGTGGAGGAGAGTTCCCCACCTATTGTGGCCGCCAAGGGGGTCCCGTTGCTGGTCAGGCAGCTCTCCTGGAAAGCCTCAAAGTAGGTGGCCTGCACTGGCTTGTGACACCGCAACAACTGTATGGCATCGTCTATTTTAAACCATTCCCTTTTCCTCCCTGTTGGCGACACAGACACAGCGGTGGAAGATGCAGGTCAAGACAAAGGCGGGGGACCAACGACGTAGCGTAAGGCAGTCTGCACACATACCGATAATCGGACTAAATGGGAGCATTTTAGCTCCCTAGCGATCCAAGTCTGCAAAGACTCTATGATCCCCCCCCCCGCCCCTGTATTATTGTCAATGTTTAATGTGTTCTGTTGTAGTATTGTTTTATGTTCAATCTTCTGTCACACGCTTTGTTACAGCCGCAGCTGTTGTGAAAGCGCGATATAAATAAAGATGCATTGTATTGTAATATGCTCGGACAAAAAGTCAAGGCCTAAAATCGTAAATGTTCAAACTGTTCAGTAATTTAGATCACAAATTGCACATGTGGTCAACAATGAGTGTAATAAAGTTGATTTTGACCATTTTTTCCCCTATAAATGTTTTTTTTAACAGTTTAGCAGAGAGCAGCCGGCAGGCCTCATGTAAAAATAGCTCATCAGGTATGGGACATTGTGATTTGCTAGGAATCTTGTAGAAGCGATCCTTTCAAAATTTAAACATCTGCAAAGACTTATTGATGTAGGGTGTTGCACATTGATTGTGATCTGTTTCCCATTTTGCTAACTCATTTTTGATCGTTATTATAAAAAATGGTTAATGTGATCAGTGTCTAAATTGAGATGAATATCGTGAATTAATTTGAGTACATTGTGTCGCTGAAATTAGTTGCCCTTTTTGTTAACCAGCATTAATTATCTTTCTGTATGTGCCCCTCAGTTTGTCCTTGCGGCCTCTCTGACATTAAAAAAAAAAAAAAAAAATCATAAGAATAATTTATGATGTCCTTCGTCCATTTAAAATGATAAATAGTTCTGATGGGCGAAAGCAAGAGTTTCTAGAGTGCCATGTCACTGCCTGCGAGCTACAATGATGCCACAAGTATATACACCAATGCAGTTTACCAATGTTGACCGAGTCCTCCCAGTCCTCCAGAACCTCCGTCACGATCAGAACGTAGACGAAAGTTCTGTGTTTCCTCTCTTGGTTCTGTGTGTCGGTTTGGAGAGGAGAGGAAACAATTCGGTTACACAACAACACAATGCTAATGAGCCAAACATCAATGAAGAATAAAAAGCGGCTCACCTCAAACACGCCAACTAAGCGACCCAACGTCCCCTTCACGCCCGCCTGCCGAATAAAAACAAGTTAGACCTCTCAGGTTTGATTAGAGCAAAACTGATGATTCTGACTGCGTCATTCAGACATTCTGACTCCAATAACCTGATACAGGCTACACGATGGATCACATGTGTACGGTCAGACAGATATTAGTATTTAATAATTCATACATCACCGGATATAGGTACCACAATCTCCTAGAGCAGTGTGTTGTGCAAATAACAAATACAAATTGTCCAGGTAACAATTGGTGGAGCACAGCGGAAAAAGCTCGCTTTTTTTTTTTTTTTAAAACTCTGTGAAGACAGTGGAACCTTCAGCGAAATGGAACAAAAGTATATATGCCGTCTCATTTATAGTCCAACTGTTAAAACCTGACTACAAACAAACAAACCACCCAGTAAAACTACTACGGGTTCACATGGCCTCTTCTTTCTTAAAACTCGAACCGATTAGTGAGGTAGGTGGCGACTGACAGGAGGTGAACAGCGCGTGAGTATTTTTGCTGCGTCTTCATCTTCCAGTAACAGTCCATAAATATCTGTTGACAGTGTTGCACCCTTAGGGTGTCAAGAAAGATCATGTGTTGGGGGGAGAGAATAAAATTAGGCATCCAACTTGGTCACAAGAATAAAGATTGCTTGGCTTCATCTCGTAATGATGAGTGGCACAGAGGTGACATTTAAAATAATGTCATCCTGTGTCTGCTTTGGTGGGGCCAGGAAGCGTGGCGGCAAGGGGTGGGCATTATGGGAAAAAAAAAAAAAAAAAAATTATGTACAGTATTCCAAAATATTTGCAAACGACCATGTCATGACATTTTACAAAAAATATTGTAAATCTGCACTTACTTCACAGAAGAGTTGTACAGATAATGATTCTAAATAACCAAGTATTATATTTTAAATTGCTTCATACATCCGGATAACAGAAAAATGATATTCTACAGCAATCATTTCCAGGGTAGGCACGTGGTCTTGCATCTTGCCAATAAATTAATCGCCAGGCAGGGGCATTACTCCATATTTGAAACAATGTTGCGCTTCGCTCGACTGGTCCCACAGAGTCAAGTGATTGAATCCTTTCCACCGATTCACCGAATGAGGACTTTCATCGCTTCCTCCTACTTTGCAGCCTATCATTGGACCCATTTGTGTTTTCTTTTGAGACAGTATTAATACTCGATAATGTGAAATTACACACTGTTGAAGGAATTTTGACGATAATATCTCCCAACCCTACCAATCAGCTCCGTCAAGTAACCTACACCTGCTCCATTTTGGCTCGTATTGGAATCTGGCTGTGTTGTACCAGTCCTGGTGCCCAGAGACCGCAATGATTATTTTGTCCAACATTATTTGTCCAATTTTTACCTGGCATATATATGTGCCGTGTCGGTGATGAAGTAGCATATTCTCAAAGTTTGGCTCCAGTGTAGCTGTAAAGATTCGGAAACTGTATTCACTTTATATGTAATTGCGTTGTGAGAACAGCTCAACTCGCATTCGGAATGACTGCGCTGTCTCTCATATCCTTGTTTAGCAAACATTTTGGGTGTCCATCAACAACAGAGCTATTTCTGCGTTAGTTCAAAAAACACACTCAACTGCTGGTTGCATCTGTGATTGGCTGAATTTTCATTGTTGGAAATTCATGTTACTTACGATGAGTGATGAGAGCTATTTTGAATTAATGTGATGTTAAAATTAAATTAATAACACGCATACTGGAGCCAGTTCTTATTTTGAAGTATATCAAATGTTTGGGGGAATTTTTACCAGTCCAAAAAAATGTAGACGCACGCTATTACTTTGTGATTGTATGGTCAAGGGTGCAGAGGTGGAACTTCCGCCTCCCAGCGCAAAGGTTTTCTGCTCACGCTGACACGCGACAAGATAGATAAGCTTTCGGGCGCATGTATATAGTATGGCAGCACAGAACGACCCAGCAGTAAACGAGGTTGTTTTTACTGTCTTATTTCGCAAATCCGATATATGGCTTCATCGACAGATTGCACAAAGTATGACATGACGGTCGATCAGCGATTTTGCATAAAATGCAAAATAGCAACCGGTCTCAATCTAGTCAATGAGACTGATGAAGGGTCGAAAAATATAATATTTGAAAATGATCGTCGAGGCAGGAGGGGCATTTGTATAAAAGCTGACAAATACAAGGTTTTAGATGGTGGGTGGAAATGTGCTGGCACACTGGCAGCATCCTGGAACTACACAGAGCTACCACAGACGCACACAAGGAAGCCAGGATGAGAGATAATATCAACATCCATCATTGTGCTGGACCTTGCACAGAGAATGGCCTTTTGATGGTGCCAAACGACGGACAGCCGGCCGAGAGGATTCAGTGTCTTCGCTCTGAGCAAAATGCCAACAGTGTGACCAGCATGTACCCTCCAGAAATACTCCATTTAAGTGACAGATGAAAGGGGTCCTAAAAGCGGAATATCGATTTCAAGGGGGAGGGGGACTCCCAACTGGTTACTAACTGCTGCCCTTCTCCGAACACGATGATGGACAAAAGAGCCAATACAGCGGACCCTTCAAACGCCCCCAAAGTCATGCAGTTCAGTCTGCATCGAAACTGTGTGTTTAGCTTGTTCTTTTGGTTTCTTTTACCCCAACACAGCCTCAACCAAAGACAAACAAAGCCGTGAGAAGAGAAGAATAAAGCACATACAGGGCACAAAAAGTAGGAAAGGTCCAGTGTGTTACGGAGATACATAGCAAGGATGTAGCAGCTAAAACCTCGATATGGAGTAAATTTAATGTTTGCGGCAAGCGGTGATATGTGTCTGTGATTCCATTTTTTACACTAAGAGTGCATGCGTGGCTCACTTCTTTTGAAGCTTCCATTTACAGCTGCAGGAATTGACTATTTGTAGAATCGAGTGTCTTACCAATTATCCTAGTCATTGAATAATCAGATAAAATGTGATTTTGCAATATAAATACGATAACTAACATGTGTCAGGTGCAGGCATTAGTGATCACCATCCTCATGTTCTACTGTCGTATCTGTGACTTTGACTCTGTGTGACTTTAAAATGCAGGGCTTGGCCTGGTGAGTAATGTGGGTGTTGATGAATGAGAGTGGAGAGTTGGCTGGCTATTAACTGGCTAACCCGTTAGCCAGTTTGCGTGTTGATTGACTTGGTATTAAGTTGTGACCATTGGAAGCATGTGAATTCATTATTTTGCGTGTTTGCATTCATGCCGTTTGCTCAATGAAGCGATTGAAACTGCACCAGCGGCTCCATATATCCATGACCACCTGCATTACGATACCTTCTACCTAGCAATGGTAGCTAAGACTGAGTTAGCAACGAATGACTCCTTGTGGTGGCCACATAGACATGCTTTTGTGGAAACATTGCACTTTATCTTCTTTTCTCATTCTGTCTTTAATGAATATCCCCTCCTGGCTCACTGCCATTGTGCCAAATTAGTGCTACATGGAGTGATGCGTGTGACTGCATTAACATCAGTGTATGTGGAAAAATGATCCCTGCGACGCTTTGAGACACAGACTTTCCCTGAACCAATCAAATATTTGAATTATTTGACTTGATTTTTTTGTTGCAGCCCTACTTCCATCCATCCATTTTCCATGGCGCATATCCTCATAGGGGTGTTTTATATCACTGGCTCAGTTAAAACGTAAATGGTAACTCATGCCAGTGTTCTTTAATGACAACAATTTTCAAACCCGAACAAGCTTCACGGCAACGGATTGTGTTAACTTAGTGGTTACCTGACATTTAATCCTTTGAGAAAATCAAGGATGACTCACTAAAAATACAGCTGTCTCAAAAATTAAAGCTCACCACTTTATAACCATTGTAAAAGGTGGCTTGAGTTGAATCCCGCTGACCTTGTTTGACACCCAAACATGGCTGTGTAACATGATGACCACGATGGCACTGGCAACATGTTGCTAGGCTCTGCCTGAGCAAGCAAACACAGCAGTTGAAACAGGGTTTATCTGTCGGTATTTGGCCGGCGTAAAAGGCATTGACAGATCAACCTGCCAAGTCGAACGCTGTAAAGCTTTGTCCACCTTTTCTGTTTATGTGAAGCTGACTCATTTCAGTGTCTGGTGTTATTTGGGAAGGTCCCTAATTCCTGTGGGCTTGATAGGACCCTCAGATAAAGAAAGTATTGACAAGCTTTTGGTGAACAAAGATTTACTGGGATCTTGGGATCACATAGTGAAGGTGTAGACTGCCATGTTAGCCTCTCATGCTTAGCCACCAACATATGCTGGCACAATTGAGCTTTTATGACAGCGACAGTGTGGAGTCTGGAATACATCAGTCCAAATATAGTTGATCTCAATAAGAAATTTAGTTTGGAAAATCGAGTAAATTGATGACTGACTGGTGTACAGATTCCATGTGCAGTTTCACTCCCCTTGCTCTTTCCAAAAATGTTGTCCAACTATTCTGAGGAAAAAAAAAAGTCCTTCAAAAAGTATGGCTTATTCCCCCCCCCAAACCGCTAAAATTCTGACTACTATTCTCTCAACAATTTAGATTTGGGTGAAAAAAAAAAGTACGACAGTACTACAATAAAACTCAACTATAGTCAAATAATACAATTTGTTTCCCTAAAAAATATACACTACTTCTCCCTGAGTGTTATTTTGTTTGAAGAATCTGAATATTAAGTAAATAAATTATTCTGTTAAAGAATGAGGAAGGTTTGGTTTGAATTAGCCCAAATACAATTGATCTCAACAGGAAATTTGGTTTTGAAAATCAATCAAATTAGGGTGACTGACGAGACGTTCACCTCTATACTGTTTACATTTCCACTCTTCAGTTTAGAGGAAATAGGTACGCGGGCTGACATTTTCTTAAAAATTAAAGAAAACAACAAAAATTTCCTTGAAAACAACATTTTGTTTTGGGGGACAATAGATTTCCAACTCACCCTCAAAACCTGAATTTATTTTTAATGGATTTTTTAAAACATGATCTTTTTGGTAAAATAAAAAGAAAAAAAACTTGGAAAAAAAGAAAACAATAATAAATTCAACACACAAGAGCCCAGCTACCTTTGTGGATTACTATTAACAGGATGATGGCACACTGTTAGTTTTTTTCCTTTATTATTTCCTATTCCAAAATTATTCATAGTGACAGTATGTTAGAAATGACTTGGGTAGTGAGGCTATCACGCAAGTGAAATAAGACTTTAATTACACTCATAAAATTACCCCTGCCAAAAATACCCAACTTTTTCCGCAAGATTTTTAAGTTTTTGTCAAAATATTTTTAATGCTACCAATATTGTAAAATAAAGTAAACTAATAGGAAAATCTAGTTTTGAATGTCAACCAAATTGAAGGTTGACCAGTGTTAAGTTCACCTGTGCGCTTTTTCCAGTCTGATGTACAGACAAAAAAAATTTACAATGTCCAAAGTGAAACCCACCTCCTCGCACACCTCCCGAGTGGCAGCGACACTGGGCTCCTCTTCAGGTTCCATGCCCCCTCCAGGAACAATCCATTTATCGGGATGTCTACTGCTGCTCACCAGCAGCACCTGTAAAAGCATCGCAAACAGAAAACAGCGGGCTTGATGGTCTTGATAAATTCCAGGAAGATTGGAGGAATGGATGCAGCATGCTCACATTATGCCAAGGTTTGATGTCCAGGCATTTTGGGGGAGTTGAACATATGGGACATAATGTGCTGCAACTCATCAGTGTAAAGCCAAATTGTTACACATCACTTGTGTGTGGACAGTTTTTGGTGGCATCACTGAAAGTGAAGCTTGTCTAAGGACCGAAAACTCTGTTTTAAGTTCCTAGCTATGCTATGCTTAGTCTCTATTTTTTTAACCTACGTACTGAAGTTAAATCAGAACTTCAAGCGTTTTCCCCCCACTAAAAGTATCAGTAGTTCTATCCAAGTACACAGTTTGAGTTCTTTTGCCACCTCAGTTGTCGAGTGGACATCGGCTTCCCGACTCGCCTCCGACCTCTGCTCCCTCTCGGCTTTTGTATGCAGGTAGCGACGGTAATTCATACAGCAGTAAATTAGGTGACCAAACATCATTAAAAACAAATAAACGCGTTAGGACATGTGACAAGAACGATGATAAACATTCTTGCAGAGCGCCCAACGACAAATAAACCAATGTGCAAGCCAAACCCCGCATCAATACCTCCTGCGCTGTCTATCGGCTATGTTAGCATGAGTAATACTTGGGTACCAGTCGCGTTCGCAGCACTAGCAGTTAACCTTCGTTTAATAGACAGTGCACGCCGATTTATTCAACTATTGTCAATGTTAATTCACTTTCGACGACCGCTTGAATGACAGCGAGTCGCAGCTGAAAACAACCCGGGCTGCCGGTTTCAGTTGCTGGGCGTGAGCCGGCCGGCGGAAGCACATTAGCATCAGCTAGCAGCTAACCTTGGCTAATTACTGTGGTGTAAAAATCTGATATTGAAGAGGATTACATAACAAACGGGAACATTGTGAGTATTTTAAATAACAATGGCATACAACAACAAAGAGACGAAATAATCTACAAGTACCACTTGTTCAATTACCACAGCTCTGTTGAGGAATATATTAATTTCCAGTTAGTGCTGAGGCTAATGCTGCTAATGCTAATGTTAGCGCGGCCCGACAGATGAGCCACATCCCGGACTCACCTCTTCCTCCGATTCACTCCTGAAGCACAGGCAGGCGGCGCGCTTCTTGTAGCCGTCCCCGTCGTACGTCCGGGTCTGGTTAGACTTGAGCTTCATCATCGCGAAGGAGCTGCACAGGCGTTCGAAATGCACAGCTGAATCGACCACGTTCGAAGGCGACGCTAGTAGACGCAAAGTCCTCCTCCGGAGGAACCTCGGCGTATTCACTTTAATATAAATAACTTCTTCTCCGCTTCATTTTTACAGATCTCGGCGCATCTACGGCACGGTCGCCATTACAAGGAGCCACTACGCCCACGACGTAATTTAACCTTTAATAGCTCCGCGAGCGTACGGAAGTCGCGTGGGTGGCGTTCGGGAATAGAGGCAGCGGCGAGCGGGGGAAACGCAACACCGCGTGTCGACCAGAGTGAGCCGGTGGAGGAAACGGACACTTTTAGTTCCAACTCCCTAGCAATGGTCACTTCTTTGCTCCTGGCTTTAACCTAAGCCTTATTGTGAACAAAATAAAGACCATATTTTCGACTTTTTATTTTAAAATAAAGGTGTCTTGGGATGTCGTACTGATTCAGTCATTTCAGCACCTCAGGTAATGGACAGCGCCACGTTAAACATCCACAAATGATGGGTGACATAATTAATAATTTGGTCTCTCAACACCATTGAAACGTAAAAATATGGGCAAAAATGCCTCTTTTGCTTGCATTTTCCTGGAGTTCATCCCCATTGATGTGCACTGCTCACTCTAACATTTGTGTAAGTAGTAGTGACTGTTGCCAACTTCACAATTTGAAAAACAGCCGATCGTGGAGCCAGAAAATTCTCAATAGCGACTACATCCAGCCTTGTCGAGCAACCATTTTTCAAAAAGTGACAAGGTGATGAGAGAACAAGTTATGCTGAATATTGCTAAAGACTTTATACATTGCAAAAGGTCTACAATAGGTCTTCAATAAAATTAAAAGGAGAATGGCGTGGATACCCTAGAGGAGTGGTTCTGAACCTGGGTTTGATCAAACCCTAGGGGTTCGGTGAATCAGGGGTTCGACGGAGCCTCTGCCATGGAGGTTAAGACACACCCGACTCAACATGTCAATTAGTTATGACACACCCGCTTGGCCATCACTGGCTGGTTCATTTTGTGCACATTTAAAATAACGTATATTTGATACTTATACTAATTGTGTTTACTGTTTTGTGTTTTTTATGTCTTAAATTTGTAGAAAAAAAAATCATATTTTAATTTTTCACGAATGAAGGATTCGGTGAATGTGCATATGAACTGGTTGGGTTCGATACCTCTAACAAGGTTAAGAACCACTGCCCTAAAGTTTCCCCAGTTATATCAGGGTGTGAACACTTGTTGCATGCCTATTATCTCAGTTGTTGATTTGAACTTATTTTTTTTCAATTGAGTTGGACATTCATGGTTTGAAGTGATTCATCTTGGTGTCATTTTTTTTCAACATCACAAAACTGTGGTATTTGAATATGAGTGTTTAGACTTGCATGAACTGTAATGCCATTAGTCATTCTTTTGAAATCCGAAGAAATTGGACACGATAGACTGTGTTCAGTTTAAGAGGTTACACAATTTATTGTGTGTGTGTGCACCTAAATTTGCATTTGAGATTCCAAAAAATCCCAATTCTGGCAAAATTTCAATGTGCTACTCCAAAAGCTTGGCATCAGTGCATGTGTGTGTGAGTGTGTTTGTGTGTGTGTGTACATGCGCGTGTGTGTGTTGTGTGTGCACCTAAATTTGCATTTAAGATTCCAAAAAATCCCAATTCTGGCAAAATTTCAATGTGCTACTCCAAAAGCTTGGCATCAGTGCATGTGTGTGTGTGAGTGTGTTTGTGTGTGTGTGTACATGCGCGTGTGTGTGTGTTGAAGTGTGAGTTATCGAGACGACTCCTGTTGAGAAATATTACAGAGTGCGGGAAATGAAAGATGTAATTAGAGCCAAGTGTTGCCCCCAGGCTGGTGTAGCAGTAAATATGCAAACATAATTTAACTGCAGTGGGAATGCTTCTAAAACAGAAAGTGCCATGGGAGCAATGTCAAAGGTTTCACTTGCTCTTATTTTGTGTGTACAGTTAATGTTGCACGCCACTTTCAACAAAGCAGTGGAAAGGCAGTGGCTACAATGTTGGGTACACAATCTAATGAAAAAGTGTCTAAAAATTCGACTTTCACAGGATTCCTTAGGAAAAAAAAATGTGCTTATTAAAACAAAAAATGACAACCTTAAATTCATGACTTTTTTTTTTCTCTTGGATAAAATTTTATCCTCAATATACATTCTTCTCTCCACAAAACTACAATTTTCAAGGGAAAAAATGGGGGAAACACATTTTTATTTCCTCTCAATAAAAAAACAAAAAGAGTTTCTTTGAAAGAAAACATATATTACTTATTCTTAAAAAACATGAAGTGTTTCTCAAAAATAGACTATTTTTCTCAAAGTTATATGGCATTCATATTGTTTTTTAAAAATTACTTTTATCTTGTAAAACTATGACAAATCAGACTTTTGAAAATGAACTTGTCAATATTAACTTTCTTAAGTTTATATCTGTTTTTCTGACAAAATACAGTTTTTTTTTATTTGGGTAATACTTCTTCAATTTTAGAAAATGTGATTTATGATTATTTATTTGCTAAGTCACAAGTTTAATGAAAAAAGCACTGCTTCAATTTTTAATTTGAAAAAACATGACATTATTCTGATAACACTGCAACTTCAAAAAAATTTTTTTTAACTAAAACAAAAATATATTATTTACCAGTAGGCTATTTAATAGCTTCAGATTATGCCTCTTTTCTCCCCAAAATAAAGAAAATATTTTCTGCAAGCGGAGTACTCTTTTTCTTTGAAAGAAAATATGACAACAACTTTTATTTTATTGTTATAATTTTTTTCCCTTGAAAAATACTTTTTTTTCCTTTGAAAAATGTTTACTTTTGTCCTGTCGAAAAAATTGGAGGGGGATGACCTGACTTTTTTTCTTTTTTCATTCCAATTATTTGACCTTTGTGCTCGAAAAAAATATAACAATCTTGAAGGAGTACAACATAAAAAAAAAACCAACAACCAACAGATCCACTGTATGTTTACCATTGTGTTTTTGCAGTTCCCAGTGTTATACGGAAGGAAACTTCATTAGCATTGACTGTGCTCGTGTGCACAGATGTTATTCTGTCTTTTTTTGTTTTCCTTTGAAGAGGGCGAGCAGAGGCCTGACAGGGTTGAAATAAAAATGTATGTACATAATGGGGTCATACTGAAGAGGCTGCGGCGCTGCTTGCGCTTTTACGATGCACAGTTGCTACGGCAACCTCCTCTCTTTGCTGCCTGAGCCAATCACACGCTGGAAGACAAACTGGATGGACAGGATGGAGTCGGAGTCGTCGTGAATCTGTCCAGAGGAAGGCGCTGATCTTCTTCAAAAGATTCACAACTCAAATCATGGGCACACATTGTTCAACACTACGGATACTTCTTCTCCATCTTCTGCTACCATCACTACGACAACGACGACGACTCGTAGCAGTAACTACTACTACTACTACTACTACTAACAACAACAACAGCAAACAGAAAAACAATCACAACAGCAATCACAAAACCAACATTATTATATAACCAACCAACAATATTATATAATATCAGTAGAAGTAGTAACAATACTACTAATGAATAATACTATTGAATACTACTATTACGACTACGACGACGACTCTTACCACCACTACTACTGCTACCACTTCGATTACAATTATGAATAGGAGTAAACAGTGATATAATGATGACTATACTACTGTTAGTACATAAAAAGTCAACAGAGATACCGCTAACAGTACTGCATTGTTACTACCACCACGAATGCTGCGACTATGACTTATATAACTACAGTAATCCGAAGAATACTACAAACGAACATACTGTAAACTATGCTAACAAATGCATTTGTCTGCATTTTGTCAGCAGGGCATTTCAATTTCAACAAATCCATCAGTGCATTAAAAGCTTAAAATTACACACATCTAAACAATGTGAGTTTTCTATCAATCTATAAAAGATGACATATGAAGGACAATGATCGGGATTAAATCACTTTGCTATTTGATTTCATTAAAATCCATTGTCCATGTGCTCATTTACGTTACAATACGTAATCAAATCACTCAGCTTCCATTCTGCAAGTTTTCCCAGCATGAGTGATTGGTATGTCACGTTAAATATTCAATGACAGTTTATATAATAAACAACTCATTTGCTTCTCTAATACTTTTAGACATAACCCCAAAATTATCAGCAGTGTGTAAAAAAAAAAGAAAAAAAAAGTTAAATGTTTTGCGTGCAATTGTTCTCATTTTTACAAATTTAATCATATGTTTTGTATTTACTACTTTTATTGTATTTTCTTTAACCTCCTAAGACCTGGAGTCTTGCAAGGCATGCATTTTTATTTTATTTTTATTTTCTCTTTGATATTTAGCCTAATTGGGACCTGATGAGTGTAAAAACAAAGAATTATATTTTTACATGATGTAACATCCTCGTAAGTGGACGTCAGGCCCTTGTAGTCCAAAATTTAATTATAATATAATAATAATTGTGGACGCCAGGTCCCAGGAGGTTAATCAATACAACTGACACAAATTTGAAGTTGTTTAGCTGTCAGCTATTAATTATTTCACTGCTTTTTTTTAATGATGTTTTAAGTTTTGTACCGTAGCGTAGTTTCGGGATCGGTACCGAGGTATTTTAGGCAAATATAGTATTAAAGTCAAGAGTTTTGTATTGTAACAACACAACATCACAGTGCCTAAGGGTTCAACTTGTGCACGTCACCTGACCAAGAAAACGGGTGAGTCGTGACCGTCGTTACTTGAGCCTTGAGGCACTGTGATGTCATTTTCAATTGACAGCAAGTGGCACAATGGCAGC